ATTCAGCAAAGGGATAAATCAAGCTCAAGTAGGCAAAATATGCATTTAAACTGCGTGTAGGGATGTAAGTTATTTTGATCTATGGAATAAATGTATCCACAACCGTGAATGGAGAGATTGAGCAGCTTGCGAGAAAGCATTCAACTACCAGTACCAGGCATGAAACTGTTTGTTTACCTGAGTGTGTGAATGTGCTTTTGACGAATGGTGTGGGGGTCAATATTGTGCGACTTCCGAGCTCCGCAGTTTCGGTGCACGTGTCAGCCAATCCATTGGCTGAAAGCGGATATGAGCGCGCGCACATTTGCTGGCGTAGTGTGATAAGAAAGCTTACACCTGCTGCAAAATGCGTAAGCCTTTATTAATAAGAAGAGGGCTTAACGATGGAAAAAGAAATTAAATACATGAATAATATAGAGAAAAATAAGACGGCTAAGAATGAAAATGGGGTGAAGATGATACGTAATTAGGCAAAAAGGCGAAACACAAAACAAAGCAAATTAGACTAAAGGAAATGAACATAAATAGGAACAATAAATGCAAAAAATAGATAAGAAAAGCAAAAGGAAACATGGCCATATAATAGGGGAAAAAAGGCAAAGGCCTGAAGAATAAAAATCGCTACATTAGACGATGAAGGCAAACCGACGCCTTGGACCACTTGGCCACGCTACTAACCACTCTAAGCCTCATCGCGCGCCACCACCTCCGTGTGCTCGCCACGTTTTATGCCAATGGCTTTCTACTTTTTCCACGCACCTGCAACACCACTGCACCGCGTACACCAGACCTTACTTCTCACAGTGGTTCCAATGCACACCACCCATCACCGCTTCAGTGCAGTATACTGCATAATGCGCGATTTGTGCCGCAAAAGACGCGTTCGCCCTCGTGTGGGCTCGAACCACTAACCTTTCGCTCAATAGCCGAAAGCGCTAACTGATTGCGCTATGAAGGCTACATCGCTGCACGCTACACTGCATTGCTATTTGCAAGCCTCCTTCCTATCCTCATTCTCACCTCAATACTATATCCCAACGGCCATCATCTTCTTATCACTAAGCCGTGTCCATGCCCATAGACGCAGTATGAGCATGCGGTTGCAGGTGAACAGGGTAGTGAGGGTAAGGAAACAGTAGAGTCGCTTGGTACTGCTTTGAGAGCACTGAGGCAGCGCGATCAACGCTACACATGTTGGAGAGCAGCCAATGGCTTGCCACCTTAATCTCATGCCCTAATCAGGCAGAATGGAAGCAGACAATACATGAGCATGCGCAAGGCCATCCTAGCGGCATAATTGACTGCTAGCAAGGTGGCATGCAATAATCAAGCATGCAACAGGTTTAGAAGTATGGCTGAGGGCAGTGGCAATAGACTACATGGCAGAGGTGGCATTTGAACCCACGCCCATTCAGACCAAAGCCTTAAACCGGCACCTTATACCGCTTGGCTAGAGGTATTCCACTGCGCAAATTGGAGGGATCTATTCATTTTCCAAAGCTATAGAGCTTTTGGCGCAATTTACTAGCCTTCAGTGGGAACAACTTCACAACAGACGCAATTCCATGGTAATGAAGGGACCGAGATGTGTCGGTTTCATTAATCCTCTAGCAGTTAGTTTGCAGAGATACGGACGTCTGCATTGGATTGGCCTTTCCTCCACAACACACAGGATATGGTAATCAGCCAGAAGAGATGAAAAGTGTCATCGTCTTTTCAAGTTAGTTTCACTCGCTAGCAGCTTAGCGCCTCCCACCGCTCCTGACAATGAACTGCTCTCAGCTGAAGTCGTGAGCTTGCCTGTGTGCCCAAGCGGGTGATAACCAATAAGCAAGGAGGGCAGAAGAGACTTTCCCACCAATTGGTAGCTCGATCGGTCGATTTCTTGACATGAATGAGTCAGATACACGGCTATAACAACAACAACAACACAACAACTACTTTTCCAATGCTCCTTCATCTGCAATACTCGCCTGCATCTACCAGCACCCTATAAGTTAGAAAAGCACAGCTCAAAACACGGTTAAACATAACAGAATAAAGTAGCAAGTGCACTGTTGGCTTCCCATGCTGGCGCGATGATATCCAATTCCATTAGGTTAACTAGTGGGAAAATAAGTCCCATTTTGAATCTACTGCATCATTACAGCATTTACGTCACCTTGAGCTGTTACTAAGCAAAAACACGCAGAATAGCTTGAGAAAATTGTCTAACATAATTTATGCGGTCAGTTAATGCTCGCGTTACAAGCTTCCAGCCTAAAAATCCTAATATACATTGTTAATGGCATGGTTTACTGGGATCTGTTATCGAACTCTTTAGACCAATGCAATCTATTTCATCTTGTCGACTAATCAATAATGACGCAGGAGCCGTGTTATTACGAGGCTGTCAACAAAACACTCTCTATTGCAAGTCTACCTGGCAAAGTGGCCTACCAAAACCTCCATAGATTGCAGATTGGAATAAATCCACTTCTGACAGTCAAGACTATGATAAAAACATAAAATACCGGACTAGAACGTCCCTCCAAGTAAGTCTTTTCGATTCGGTATTTATATTCTTCCGGTGAGCGCACTTCAACATGGCGGAATGGCATCAAGTCTCAGTGATGGTGACTAGAATTCACTGAATGACATCTGTGGAATAGATATGCTCATTCCAGTTCAGTCCTTCCTAAAAGAATTGGACTGGATTTGCTGTTGTTCGTATGCCCTTATAAGAGAAGGTTAAACGCAAGCCATGAATGAAAGAAGGGAGCCGAATATGCATTGACGTTGCAGCTAGAAGGGATTCCGGTCCTACAAACGAAGACCTCGATACTCAGGTATATCTAGGTAGTTTTTGTGTGTGCACAGCTCCAGTAATGCATTC